CACTAGACAAATTCACATGCACTCTCCCCCCTTCTCTCCCCCATCAGGTTGTGCCAGGTTTAAGATCGACGGCTAGCGTTTTCCCTTCCATCAAAAGCAGTATCTTTTTGACCCTCCTATCACAGGAATACAACTACGATACAAATATTTATAATCTAGTTAATGAATGAGGGGCGGTTACTTTTATTTTATTTTTCCAAATTAGAATATCCCTAGCTTCCTCCACCTCATCATTATTTGGAAGGGAAAGAATAGAAAAGAAAATTTAACTCACTATTCTTTTCAGACATTCAACTCATAAAATCTCCAAAAACCCTTCTCTCTCTGTCCTTTCCTTCTCTTTCTCTTTTATTTGGTGCTACATGGAGAAATAAGAACATGAAGTCTTCTTCTTCTTCTCCCTTCTTCCAAGATAAACTACATCAGTATAATAAAAAGGAGAGATGCCTCAACATGGGGATGCTCCCTCCATTCTTCTTGTCTTCTCTTGTTGTAACTGTCATATTCATACTCTTCATCCTCTATTCCCCAAACCCTTTAAAGGCCATGTCCAAAAGTGACCTTGATCAAAGGCTTGCCTTGATCAGACCTCCTAATACTACCTTTCAAGGTAATTCAATCTCCTCTTCTCTTCTCCTTATAAAATTGTGTGATTCTGATTTTTGTTTTGGTGTTTTAGGTGATGATGATGAGATTTTGAACTGTGACTTGTTTAAGGGTCATTGGATACCTGACCTGCAAGGGTCTCAATATACAAACTCAAGTTGCACCACAATTCCTACATCAAAGAATTGCTTCCACCATGGAAGAGAAGACACAGATTTTCTGAATTGGAGATGGAAACCTGACCAATGTGATCTTCCAAGGTTTGATCCTAAGACATTCCTCGAATTTGTTCAAGGAAAGAAACTTGCGTTTGTTGGTGACTCAGTCGCTAGGAACCACATGGAGTCCCTTCTGTGTCTCCTGTCAAAGGTTAGTTTTCAGAACTTCCTGTTCTTAGTTAGGCACCATCGTTTTCACATCATTCTGGTGATAAATTGCCCTGGAACATAAAGTTCCAGCACTGTTGGTTGGTTTTATCCTGATTCCATTATCCCTTGCGTGCCCTGATTGAGGTGTCATTCCTTCACATGTCTAGCTATTTAAAATAGTACTACCAAATATGCTAAAGCAGTTGCTTCTGGGGTTGGCATTACCTTGTATTATTTTGCTATCTTTGGAAGAGAAATAAATTTACATCCATGGAATTTAATATCAAATCAAAAGGCTGAAGAAGTTCAATGGGGATATAGAGTTAATTAGTGTTACCTAGTTTCTGTCAATTTTGCAGTAAATAGCATATTCAGAGTTAATTACTGTGGACCACAGAGAAACCAGGCTTGATCCTCTAGTTTTTGATGGATTAATTGCTGCATTTATGAATTACCAAATATTTACTCTTCACTACATTGAAACAGTTTTGAATGAATTGGGCCAAGGGCAACAAAACTGGCAAACTTCACGGCCATTCAGAGAATTTAGTGGGTTTCGAAGTCAGAATGATAAACAGCGTCCTTGTCAAGTGGCTGAAAATGCTGTTTCAGCAGACAAAGTCAGAGAACAAACACCGCCAATTTAGTTAATTGAAAGTTCTTCGATTATGAAAATACTAATTTTCACATGCAACAGGTCCCTGCAAATACTGAATTATTGCCAGGTTCTTCAGCATTCTGAAAGACTAATTAAAATTATATTTTCAGGTCCATAATTGAAGTCTTACGTGTAAATCTATGACAAAGAGATTAAGTAGGTTTGATTTATTTAATTTTTTTTCAAAAAGAGAAAGGGTTGACTTGGACATGTTAAGGCTATATTCATGTCAACTTTAGTTGCTGCCTTTTTTTAAAATATTCTTTGTTTGCTAATTTTTTTCGTTCATTCTTATTTCCTGGGTAAGAACAGAACAGCAGTGTTACCCAGTTTCTACTGCAACCTTTTTACTTCTACCATTTCAATTTGCCTGTTTTCTCCTTTTTTTTTTTTGGAAAATTAATTTGCCTGTTTTCTAATGTGGATAAAAGTTTAAAAAGTTTTCCTTTGATCTTGAACTGCAATGTTTTGTAGGTAGAAACTCCCAAAGATCAGTACAAGGATTCAGAAGACAGGAAGCGGATATGGTACTTTCCTGATCATGACTTCACTCTCATGATCCTTTGGACCAAATTCCTTGTAGCTGGTGAGGAAAGAGTGGTCAATGGTTCATCATCTGGCATTTTTGACTTGCACCTTGACAAAATTGATAAAGAATGGAGCAGAGATCTTCCTGCTCTAGACTACGTTATCATCTCAGATGCGCATTGGTTCTTCCGACCGATTTACCTACATGATGCCACTGGGGTTGTTGGATGCGTATATTGTAATACTCCTAATGTGACAGATTATGGGGTGGGCTTCGCGCTCAAGATGGCTTTTCGATCTGCGTTAAATCATATTAACCGCTGCAAGAAATGCAAGGTGAGGGTTACCATCGCCAGGACATTTTCACCGGCTCATTTTGAGAATGGGACTTGGAACACCGGAGGAAGCTGCAACAGACCAAATCCTTTAAGTGAAGGAGAGATCAACTTGAGTGGTAATGAATGGGAACTGAGGAGCTTGCAAATGGAGGAGATCGAAAAGGCGAGAATGGAAGGAGATAAGAGAGGGAAGAGGTTTGGAGTTTTGGATGTCACCAGGGCTATGCTTATGAGACCTGATGGGCACCCTGGTGAATACTGGGGAAACAAATGGATGAGGGGTTACAATGACTGTGTTCACTGGTGCTTGCCAGGTCCGATCGATGTATGGAATGATTTTCTGATGGCGGTTCTGCAAAGGGAAGCTGCATTAGTTTCTTAGTTAAGGGCCAGGTCGATTAGTTAGAATCTTATACCATACATAGTTACATCTTAATAATTGTCCTCGATTTTTTCTCTCCATTGGCATATGTTTTTTATGGCCAACAGATGGAATTTTTTTTTATTGTTAATACAATAAATTAACATATGTTTTCCCTGTAATAGCAAACATCATTGATCCTGCATAGCCTAATATTTATAATAATAATGATAAACACAGAGAAAGAGATGATAACAGATGCAGTAATATTCAATCCTCTTACACAGAAAACTATCAGCTTCAAACAATAGTGGCTTTTTTCATACTTGATGAAATTTGGCATTCTGCAAGCACACAAAATTAAGAGATTTTCCTGGTTCTCTATTGTGCTGGGATCCAATAAGAGGAGGGAAAAGTAAAGGTGGGATTTGAGATACTGGAGGAAAGCCATAATCATTCATCATAAAGTGGATTTCTTGTTAAAATCTCCAACTAGCTGGAACCTGGAAATGTTAGTATCGAATGACAAAACTTCTGGCAACTCATGTGCAAACATGGTGGGGCATTATTTATTTCAGAATCATATAGACAAGACAGGAAAGGAACTTGAAAATGAGGTTAACAGAAGCCCCCAAAAACAAAAGAAAAAAAGTCAAGGTGGTCCTCATCCAAGATGAGGTGGGAAAAGAATCAATTTACAAAACAATTCGAGGAGAAGAAAAGTAAAAGAAACACTCAAATAATTGTTTCAATCATGAAAGTGCGAAACATAAATCTTGCAATGAAAAAGGGGTATCCTCGATAAATACTAAGACAAGTTTAGAGTAATTGAGCAAGATCTTTTTTTCTCTTGGATGGAAAGCAAATGTAAGAGGCTTGATTCTAGTTCTTGTCAAAGCCCAAGAACACTTCAGGATGGAATGGAACTACAATCTGCAAATCAGACAGTTCGGCTCCAAAACGGTTATCTAAATACAGCAAGCAAGGTGGTAAATTGACTACTTGCATAACACAAGCACAATGATAACCATACAATCAGATACAGAAATTATTTCTAAAACTTATTTGTTTTTTCAGGAGTAAATTCCGTCATGCTTTCGTTAAAAGTGTGCTTTAACCTAGTGAGGGCAGAAATCCTGCTTTCTAGAACAAAGGTTAAAACTACCACACAACATCTATGGCAAGTCACATCACTCTGTAGGTGGCTTCACACTATCTGAATACTTCCACTAAAAGTGTGTTAATCGCAGCAGTCAACATATAGATGCAAGGTACAGGGACCTGCATCAAAGTGCCACACTTCGTCAGGCAGCATGTGTGTAGCCAACTGCCATAGCATTACTACTCCACACCGGAAGTTAAAATCCAATCTAAAATAAATATAATAAACACTGAACAAGATTAGAAAGATCCTGCATTAAATCTTTACAAAAAGAGGCCTACCTTTGCAAAAGCTACATATCCTAGTTATTACCTTCAATTAGGCTATATCATCTTATTTGGCCCAAAAGAAGGCTTTATCAATATGGACACCATCGTTAACAAACGTCATAGTGATGACATAGACTAATAAACTACTAATGTGTATGAATGACAAAATCATTTACTGATTTCACAGAGAAGTGATCTAGACATGGTCAATATCCTAAAGGTCAGAATTCTAAACTAAGCCGCAGAAAGTAAAGAGGATGTAACCTGGTCAAATCACCAATTTATTTAATGTTAAACATCAAAACAGAAAACCCTTAAGCAACCCAGGCCAACTAAGAAGGATTCTTAATTTGATTAAATACAAGCAGGAAGTCTCAAAAAATTTGCTTAGCATGAAACTAATGAAGATTATATCGACAAACACCTTTACCAAATTAAGCATTTCCAAAATTTGAGGACAAAAGGCAAAGAAGGATAAGGCAAGGCAAAAAGTGTAGAAAATGGTGACAATGAACAATGTCTCATACTATTTTACTAGTAGAATAACAAACATAAGTAGGTCTGTGAAACAAAGAACACTGCTAAGTAGAATACTGGATTATCTCTAATGATTTGGTTAAATTCTTTAACACTCAGTTGCGGCACTAAAAACCACCATTCGATTTTATGATTATCAAATGGTAAATAACATAATCAAATTCAATTTGCTCACTTACAAAAGTAAAAACTAAGATACAAGAAATTCACTGCAGCGGTGCCATATGAATACCCATCACACAGACAGAAAACTTGGCAATCTGCTCTTTATAAATTCCAAAATCTAAATCAGAATGTACGGTGAACTCAATATATATACAATTAATTGTTTCCAGACATTCAAGCCAAGATGACAGATTGATAAAATGTTTGAACCAATCCAATATATCTCCTCCCCATCCAATATAGCATCTGGTCATGTCAGGGTAAAACATATCCTCATCAATGTAAGAAGTCAAACTCGCATACAAGAGATTAGATGCAACAATAACAACTGAAAACTCCTTACATTAATGGGATTCTTTACATGTTCCACAATTCAAATTATCAAGACATCTGGGCGAAGATAAAAGGTTCGAGCCAATCCCACTTTTTATTTCCGTTAAATATAGAATCTGGTTATGTAGTGCTAAACATGCTCTCAACAAATAATGCAGGCAAGGAAAAGATAGGATAGACAATTGAACTGTAAAACAACAAATTAAGCTGCAACTAAGAATCCATCGTTCATGAATAATTATAAACCCTACATTAGCAACACATCAGGTAAACACATTTTGAAATTGTAACAGAAAGCAAAAACTAACACTGTCATAATGACCCCTCCAAATCTCATGCCTCTACTGAATTCCCAAGACCAAATGAGAAATGTTCGCGAACAGGTGAAAACTCCACCAATCCAATATCCATTGCGTATCCAGAAACAGGCATCTTCAACTCTCTCAACACACAAAAAGCCTCAGCCATTCTTGTTTTTGGCACTTCCTGAGCTACAGCACAATAAGGAATCCAAGCGTCAGCTTTAAACTCTTCTCCAATTTCAATCCCTTCTTTTTTAACTGCCTCACATAACTGAGCCTGGAACTGAAGGAGGGCCATTGTTGGAGCTGGTGCAAGAAAAAGAACATTTTTTTCATTTGGGAAAGTCCCAATTGAAGAAAAAGATAGAGCCAAAGGTTCTTGCTTTGAAGCAAAGGACTTTACAACAAATTCAAGCTTGGCAGGATCAAGATAGGGGCTTGAAAAGAGAGTAATGTGAGGCCTTGACTCAATTTCAATTAACTGAGTGCTGATTTGGCGACGAGCCAAAACATTCCAAGCTTTCAAGACTTGGTTTTCAAGTGCTGGATCAAAGTAAAGCTCAATTGAAAAGCCTTGTGACATTGAAACTTCGAGGAAAATAAAAGAAACCCAAAGTTTAAAAGGGAGATCTAAGAATACCCAGATAATGAAAATTGGAACTTGAAGAAGAATTTTAAGTGACCCAGAAAGGGGGAAAAACTCAAAACCCTAGAAAGAACATGGGAAATGAAAGGTACCCAAATTAGATTTGCTGTTGCAGAGGCCAAAGAAGAAGAAGAAATATGAAAAAAGAAGGGATTTTTTTGGTGTTTTTCAAGAGACAGAATGGACAGAGGAACACTTTGTGTGGGGATTATGGAGAGGAGAGTCTGATTTTCTTTGGTAATTTCACAGTGAAGATTAAAAAGAATTAAAAAAATTAAAAAGGAAATGTAATTTTCTTTTTGCACTTGTTAATTTTTTATTTTCCTTTTGGCCTTTTTGGGTTTATAGTAAACACCTTGAACTGAGATGTAAGTTGGAAGCTTTTTGTTTTAGAAATTAAAAAATTGGAAAGGAGAGTATATCAGTCAAGTCAAGAAGTTCCGGCGGAAGCTCAAATTTTGGTTTTTGAAATTAATTACTAGGAGCAATTAATATGCATCTTAAAATTTTAGTTTGAATTCTAGGAGAATTTAATTTTGAATTTTTGTCTTATTTGAATTTAATAAATATTTACATTTATAGAAATAGAAAAAATAAACCAACAAAATTAAGAAAAACCAACTTTAATGCTCATGTAGTTTTGGTTATTTTAACTAATAATGGTATGTATGTTGGATTCATTGTATTGAGATAATATGATTTAAATTTAAATTACAATTTATTTATATTTCCTAGAAGTATTATTGATAGGTAATTTTGGTAATAGCAAATTAAATTATACAATTAGTTTTTGTATTATAGTAGATTTAGTTCTTATACAATAAATTGTAAAAATTAAATACTTGTATTTTTTAAATTGACAATATTAATCCAATTGTTAACAATGGTAAAATTTTTTTTATTATTTATGATGATATGGTATTTTTTTGATTGTTTTGATATTGAATATGATGATGTGTTAATGATGATGCACATTTTTAATCTATTTTAAAATTTTTTTTACTATTTTAAGTTATAGAACATAAAATTTTAATTTTTTTATGTCACGACACTTTTTTCTTAGATAGTACGTTTTATCTGTTTCTGTTCTAATCTCGTTTAAAATCATTAACTTATATTAAATAATTTTATGTTTTCAATTATAAATTCATGTCATTGTTTAGTCATGTTGTATCGCACTATTAGTGCATCATTTATGAAATGTTACATAATTAATATTATGTGATTAGATTCAATGTCTCATTAATAAAAAAAATACCATATAAACATAATCAAATATCATACATATAATAAAATTTTTTTAAAACATTAGACTGATATTATCAATTTTAAAACATATAAAAATTTAATTTTTACAAATTATTGTATAAAGATCAAATCCACCCTTGTTTTGTACAAGACCCATTGGAATTTTATTGATACACAGCAATACAAGAGGAAATAAACAATGTTATTGTAGATTACACAGCATGGAGAAGTTGATGTCTTACATTAAAACACTAATGGAATAACTACAATACGAATTACAGGGTGAGTCTTCGTTTTGTAGCTGCTAAGCTTCAAGAGGGAAGGCGAAGATAGAGAGGGATGCAACTCTGAGCACTGGGAGGTGAGTCCCAGACAGAGAAAGCACTGGTGGAGCTGGAGTAGATCCATTTCTTTGTAAGACCTGGGTAATGACGCTCTAGCACATCTTTCAAGCTCTCTGTAGAGTTCACCCATTCAAATCCCTTCTTTGTGTATGTCTCCTCGTTGAAATTGCTTGTGAAAAACCTATCTGCTTCAAGCCTCCTGCGTCACCCAAATTCAAGATTTAAAACCCCATTTCATTATCACTAACATGATTGATCTAATAGCATTATTCATTTTGAATTTGTTCGGCTTACGACTGATATGATAAGAAGAGATTATATAACAATTTCTTTCTTAAACTCAGGCTAATTGGAGGTGGAAAATAACTAAATTTTTGGTTGATTTACCTGGTTGCCATCTGTAGAAATATGATGAAAGCTGTCTCACTGATGGCAAAACCCTCGATCTTCTTCTCTGCCATGAGGCCCACCGTCAAGTCCAGCGCTTCAACATCATCACCATAAACCTCCTTAAGAGTTTCAATGGCCTCTTTATCATCTGTCAGATCTTCCCATCTATTGATTGGTATCAATAGCAGAGCCCTGCGGAATTGGTTATACCTTGCCACTTTTCTCTCCCTGTCCCTATAAACTGCATCAGTGATATCAAAATAAATCAACCTCACGTCATTCTTGTCAGTAATTTCACTGAAAGTAAGTGAAAAGTGAAAACTCACTTTCAAGAGATGCCAAGTCCACATGGTCAGGCCTGTCTTTACCGTCAACATCTTGCGGTACAAGGTCTCGAAGCCAGGAAGGATAGTTCCAAAGCTCTAGTGCACCGCAAGCCTGATGGCCCATTGAAACTATTAGCCTGGTGAATCCAATTTGTGATAAAGTCTTTTCTCCTTTATGGCCTACCAAATCTGGCATGGGAACCCTGCATTTACAAATGCAAAAACCAAAGTTATGTCTCTCTGGTCAATAACGTACAAAAGAAGCTGCCTGAAAAACCAACATACTTCTCAAGCAAAGGTGGAGATTTATTGGGCCCTGGTGGGACGTTGATGTTCCTTAGATGAAGAGAATCTGGTAGAATCGGGTGCATTCGATAGACGCTGACAAACTCCTCAGTCAAAGAGTAAGGAACACCATGATTAACAGGCTTTCTTTGACCAACCAAACCTCCCAACGTGGCGTTCCCAACATGCCCAAATGTGTCTTTGAATTTCTTTCCCAGTAGGCCATACCTGTGATATATTAAATGCAAATGATACGTTAAACCTTAAAGCTTGACTCTTCGTTATAACAAGTAAAGAAGCAAAGTGATTTGAGTTTTAATCAGTTTGAAATATCTGCCAAATGATCTTCATTGAGTCAAAAAAGGAAAAAGAAAAAAAAAACAAAGGCTTCATCAGATATATACCAGTTAGCACGCATTCCTGCAAGCAACATATCAGTTTTCAGAAGCTCCACAGTCCAGTCAATAGTATGGATCTTTGCAATCACAGCAGAAGTCACCAGCCTTGCATGACGGTATAATTCTTCATCATTTAAGTCGGGATATTCCTTCTAATGGTATTTCAAAGACAATTACAATTGATGTTTAGTTAATGTACCATAAAATATATATACTAAGTAGAGATATCATATTTTTTATTATATCAATTCAATAATCTATTAACCAAGCCATTTGCATAGATTGAATACCTTGAGGGCATCGCAGACTGCATTGTGCTCTTTAATGAATAGGGCCTGCAATGTAGAGACACCAGCCCAGTTGTTCCGAACATCTCCTGCTATGGGGATCCCATCCTCATCATGTACAAGTAGCCCAGACTCTGAGATCTTTAACTTTCCATCTTTGAAAGTCCTTACCTTTTGTAACCTTTCCGCATTGCTACCATATATAGCACTTCCATCCCTACAATTCATGTAAAATGCATGCTATAAATCTTCAGGTGTAGGTCGACATATCATTAATGTTTCGGTTCTCAAACACCCAGACACATGGTAAGTTCAAGTCAATTTACACTCTATATGTATGTTCTTACCACCAAGGTGTACGGATGTTTTTAGTGCCAGTTTTGATCTCATAGGAACCAGTTGGAAACCGCTTTGTCTCGTAAAATTTGAAAGAACTGAGGGGACATTTACCAGCAACTGCTTTAGGAGCAACCAACTCAATCTGCAATAAGTTTGTACAAGAAGTAAGCTAATTGTGCATCAATTTGTGTAAGAATGTATAGAATTTATGGATATATAGTTATACTCAACCTGGTTGGTGTCCTCCAGATGGTCGACCCAATCATGGATCATAAACTGGATCCAAGAGGCCGCTATCATGTTGAATTGCTTGCCAGTGTCTTTGTATTGTCTTCGTGCCAAAAGTTTTGTGGCAACAACCATTGGATCTGGCTTCATTAACTACACATAGTTTTATCATTATTATAATATCAAATTAAAAGATTATTAATGAATAAAAAGAATATTATATGCACCCAAAAAAAAAATCTTATATGTAAATATAATATGATATAAATATAGTATTTTCACACTTGATTATTTAACTTATAAGTTGATGTATGATATCTTTGTTCAAAGAATAGGATTCAAATTCTTTTTTCTTAATTTAAAATAAATATAATATTTTCTATTTGATAAAAATATAAGCGTTAATATTAAATCACCGATGACTTTTTTTGTTATGTTTGTTGTGTGCAAATACGCTAGGGGACCCAACAGCAATAATCCTCCAAAAAAAAAAAAGTAACACCAGAAAGACAAAGAGAAATATAACAAGCTAGCATACATTATACGGACGGAATTAGTCAATTTTTATTAAGAGTCAAATACAAAAGAATAAGGGCTAAAAATTTTTAAAATTAATATATTAAATTCAATCAACAATCAAATGATTGATAATAGAAATATGAAACTAAATATAAAACTATAATGAGTAAATATAAATAGTTAAAAATGATATATAAAATTAATAATTTCTTTTTATGTAATCTTCTTCTTATATAATCAGAATTATTTAAAGACCATCTATTCAAGATAATTTTATTTTAACTAAATATAAAACGTAAAGCATATACAAAATACTCAAATTAATTTCTTTCTACATAATCAAGATTAATAAAAAAATAATACATTGATGAAATTTTAAGTAATAATGTAACACTATAACTTATATTTGAGAATTATATGATAATTTATTAATTTTTAAAAATTAAAATTATAAAAATAAAATCTGCGTAATATAAAAAAGAAGAACATGGAAAATAGAAGGTAGATATCGCATATGACATAACAAAATGGAAAGAAAAAGAATATAGTTAATGAATTGTAGAAATTTCAAAAAAAAATTTATAAGAACTTAAACCATATGAACAACAGAATAGAAATGAAAAAAATAAATAAATATAAAAATACATAATATTATAAATTAAAAGAAAAAATAAAAAAGATTAAAGTTGAGTGAGATATGTAAAATTATTTTATTATTTTTTATTTATATTAATTATTAAATAAAATTATTTTGAAGGAACTATTAAAATATATATACAAAATTTTAAAAATTTCATATGTATAAAAAAATTTTAAAAATTTTGAAAGGGACATGGCTGCATCGCTTAAGGAGGCTTCGCTTCAGACCACACACCATTTAGAACATCTTTGGCTTATGTAACTGTTTTTCCTAAACTTCCTCGTATATAATAAAATGACAAAAAAAAAAAAAAACTGAACTAAAAGGATATGTAAACCCTATACTTAGTTAGGTAAAGTTGCGTAGCCTGCATATGGTAATACCACGGTAAACTTTACAGGTACGAAAGGATAAACCGTGTGCTCTGTTAGTTGATGCAAACTGCTATGAACGACCAACACACTGAGATCAGCCATGGCAGTCGGTTGCATCAAGGACCTGCATGTCCAAACACCACAACATGCAGAACCCCCCATAACATGACAACCAACAACGGGGGTTAATTATACCTTATCTTTTTGATCAACAGGCAGAATGTTCCTGCCAAAGAAGCTTCCTTGGCTGCCTGCTGCTTCATTGAATGGTTCATTATATCTTCCGTCAGCTGTTCTGTAAGGATAATCCCCTGGATTAAAACGCACACCGGAGGGAGATTTACCAACGTTGAACAAATTGTACTCCTGGTGAAGATGGCGACGAATTGCCAGATAAAATAGACCTAAGAATACTGGTAACCGATGCCATATGCCCAACTTATCAACCAAATGGACAATCTTCTCAAAACATGAAAAAAAAAAAGTTAATTAAGCAAGAGTTTTGAAGTTAATATACAAGAAAAACTATAATTAAATTAATGTATAATTAGTAAGGACACGAGGAGCAAAGAATGGATTTTACGAGGAAGAGAAAAGAATCGATTATAGTCATCTTAGAGACAGCTTCATGGAAGTCTTCATGGATGAAACAGTACAGCAGGTTCTTGATTGAGGACACAAAAAATGCCATGGTTTTTTCAGACAACCAAGTTTCCTATAAAATCATAGCGAAGCATGGCAATATTTATAGGCGAAACTAGGGAAAGGTAGGAAGTTAGGAAGCAAGTAGACAATTGAAAGGCGTTGAAAAGTTGGATTTGTACTTCCCAAATCAAAAAAGGGTTATCCATGGAATATGAGCTTGAATGTTTCTTCAGCCGAGAAACACCAAAGCTATACATGAGTATTCTAGAAGAAGAATTTCCTTGCCTGCGCTAAACTTAATTGACAAAAGCATTAAAAGGAGTTGTGGTCCTAGGCCTAGCCAAGCATGGCCGATATTTATTGACGAAACCTGACCAGAGGAATACCAAGTCAGGAACCAAGTACGTACAAGTGAAAACCGTTGAACAGTTGCATGCACCGATACATTTCCAAACTCAAAAACAAGGGCTTATCCATTGGATGAGCTTGAATTAATGTTACTTGTAGCAGAGAAACATCAGAATTATGACTATCCTAGAGAAAGAATTTTCTTCCATTAGCTAGACTTAATTGACAAAATCATTAAAAAGAGAATATATATTAATTACTCATTCCCTCTTATTTTCTTTATTTAATTTTTTTAGATGTGTCAAAATTATACTTTTTTGTCTTTTTGAATACTTAATTCTCTTATTTTTTTCTAAATGTTGAAGTTTCTTTTTCTATTTTTTGACGTAAAAAAATCATGCAGAATTTTTTTAAAAAATTTCAAATTTTAATATAAAATACATTAAAATCAAAATTTTTTCCCCTTAAATTCTACGAAAATCAAATAAAGACACGAAAAGTGGGGCAAAGTATTATATTATAGGAGACGTGCTACATTTGGTTGCATACAGTTAAGGGCATACATCAAATATAGTAGTTTTCTCTTTTATATCTTTACTACGACAGATCACGAATTTCTAATTTAATATTTTTTTGGGACCAATTATAGTGGTTTTGTCTTTTATATCTCTTGAAGGTGGAACCCAAATGCCTAGCCTTTTTCTGCACCCCATGTTTAGATTTATACCACGTGTTTATTTTTAATTATTAGATTAATACATATTTGGTTTTAATTTTTTCCTCTCTCTGTCATGTCTTTTCCATGTTTCTCCTTCACGACTCATTATTATTCAGTTACAACTCGCCTTTTACTCCAATTGCATTAGAATAAAATTATATTAATAAAATTATTGCTTGATTTTAATATTATTACAACTAGAATTGCATACTTTTGACATTCCAAAACTTATTTAATTTTCCGTCGGAAAAACCACAATTTCTTGTAGTGTTCTAGTTAGGGTGATTTGGAAGAAGATAAGTTTTGAGAGTGGAATCAAACACTCTCCACGCTCCAATATTTTGCTTCTTTCTATTGCTTAGCTATACTTGTTTATCTGGACTGCATCGTATATGGGTAATTAGGACTTAAGTTGCATCTACTGACAACCCCTTGTAACTTTCACTATATTTGTAAGACCTTTTGTTTCTAGTTTCCACATCTTTCTACTGTAACCTGGAAATGGAATCTTTGAAAGAAATCAAGAAACCAAATGCAAAACTAGCATACGAGTATTTAAATTTTTAATTAGTACACGATACGATTTTTTTCTTAAAAAATAAAATTCGAATCTCTTTTTACTAATTTAAAAGATAAATAAATAAAATGCAAAACTAATCCCATAAATATGCATATATAGGGATCAACATTAGAAATCCTCTAGAAGAGTAAGAGGTTTTGGTGTATGGGATAAATCTAACAGGGTGGATGACCAGAAAGAGTGAGTAAGAGGTTTTCTTGAGCATTGCAACAGAAACTAGGGGGCTTTGTTAAATCGATACCACAAGATGGAGTGCTCATCCAATTGGCTTTAAGGAGAATGTGAATTTCCTTTGATCAATGTTTTATACTGTTGAAAGTGATGGACAATGATTGATGTTAAGGACATTCAATTGCTTGCTTTTTGGTAGGACATCCATACCCTGAAATGATAGGGTAGAAATCTTCATGGGGTGGCCTCCGCCATAGATATCAATTTCAGTATAGATCACGTTTATCTTTAGGAAAATTAAGGATATGGGTTCCGTACCTTCTTTCACTATCAACAAGATTAACCTTATTTGTATCGAAGAATGAATTATATGATCCTATAAAGTGACAGAGGTTGAATAAATATATCCAAGTAAAGGTGAATTAATATCATGTGTGAACTTTTTCAATTGCTGCTATACACTATTTATTAATTTTCTTCTTATGCAATACATAGTTTTTAGAGTTAATGTTACAATATTTAAGGTGTTATATAAATGCATAACAATTGGCCTTTGGGTTTCATTTTATGAAATTATATGTACCAAAAAAAATTAGAATCTAATGAAATATATATTGGTCAATATTGACATAATTAATGGTTTGTTACTCCAGATTAATGAAAGCTTCTGCTTTTCAAGAGAGGAAATTAACATAATTAAATACTAATGAACAAACTAAACAAATCAGAGCATTAAGCTAGACGAAACCTAGAACCTAAAATTAGCTGGGTCTCTATTTTGCCAAGGAGGTAAAGTCTTTCATTTTATATTTGTGAATTTTCAGAAGATAGATTCATTTTATATTTGATTTATAGCTGAAGCTTTTTAATGAAACTACTGGCTCATCAAAAAAACAAAAAAAAATATCACGATTTAGAGCATTGTTTTCCCATTACAATTCTGCTATCAAATCTCCTGTTGTACTTTGTTTCAACCATATATACTTCCTTAGAGAAGGTGAGGTAAGGAAAACGTGATGATCTCTAGTTTCATCAGCTTGCCCTGGCCACAAAGGAAACATGTTAAGTTTATTGAAAGTTGGACTCAAGTACATATAACCATCCAAGCAATAATTATGGAGTACTATTAAGATACATGATATATTGAACCATACAAGCCTATGCTATATGATTGCCACTGATGATGCCAGCCAAATATAAAGGTGAACCAGGGGAGACCAAACGGTGATCTTTAATAATTAAGTTTGGTTTGCTGCAGAGATTCAAGAAGGAACACGAAGATAAAGAGGAACATGATTGCGAGCATTTGGAGGTGAGTCCCAAACAGAGAATGCACTGCTGGAGTTCATCCATTTCTTTGTGATTTCGGGGTAATGCCGGTCTAGCACATCTTTCAGGCTCTCTGTTGTATTTACCCATTCGAATCCCTTCTTTGTATATGTCTCCTCATTGAAATTGCTTGTAAAGAACATGTCTGCCTCTAGCCTCCTGTGCCAGTACCCCATCCAAAAATATAGAAACACTCATTATTTAAGTTGCATAACTTTTGTGTCTGCCTAAATTGTACTATCCTTAATTCAAGCTATTGTAAGTGTAGAGTGAATTTTATGATTTGAGACAAGGACCTTACTTCCTCACCAACCCAATTAACCTCATAGAAATGTTTTTCATTTATTTTGGGAAGATTAAGTTTTGGAATTCAAAAGCTTCTCTCTTTACCTCTACGCATATATTCCCAATAACCTTTTTTTTGGATTTGATGATGTATATATTGCTTTACCTGGTTGCCATGAGGAGGAAGATGAAAAAAGCTGTCTCACTAATAGCAAATCCCTTAATCTTCTTCTCTGCCATGAGGCCAACTAGTAAGTCCAGCTCTTCGACATCATCATCATAAACTTCCTTAAGAGTTTGAATCTCTTCCGTATTATCTGTCAGGTCTTCCCATTTAGAAATTGGTATTAAGAATAAAGCCCTTCGGAATTGATTGTACCTAGCAACCTTTCTCTCTCTGTCCCTGTAAACTGCATGAGTAAAACACAAATGAACCAACTTCACATCACTTGTTGTTGAAACCACATAACAAGTTGGTAGATAGCAGTTACTTTCAAGAGCCGCCAGGTCCACACGATCAGGCCTATCTTTGCCATCGACATCTTGTGCTATAAGGTCCCGCAGCCAGAACGGGTAGTTCCAAAGCTTTGGTTGGCCACAGGCTTGGTGCCCCATTGAAACCATTTGTCTTGTGAATCCAATTTCTGACAAATTCTTTTCTCCTTCCTGGCCTATCAGATTAGCCATTGGAATTCTGCATTTAAAAATTACAAGAATCAAAATTAAGCAAAATATGTTTTGTCCTATATCTAAAAACTAAAACATTAAGGTACTGTAATTTATGTCTCTTTTTTGCTTCGCCCGTGCTCTAGCTATATTTCTATTAGGTTAATTACATGAAAATGAGGAGTATAGCTCATGTAAAGATGGAAAAAAGTATACATATCTTTTGTAGGCATACTTCTCAGTTAGTGGTGGAGATTTGTTGGGTCCTGGTGCAGCTTTGGTGTCCCTAAGGTAAAGGTAATCAGGTAGAAGCGAGTGCATTCGGTAGACGCTAACAATCTCTTCAGTCAATGAATATGGGACACCATGATTATCAGGCTTCTTCAGTCCGACGACACGTCCTAAGATGTCTCCCCCAACATGACCAAATTTGTCCTTGAATTTCTTTCGCAATAGTCCATACCTATATATGATGAGGTAATTGTCAGAGAGATACTTAGTAGTTTTACATGGAAATCTCAAAATTTTCAGCATTTTAATTCAGGCTAGTAGTGCATCAATTTAAATGGTTCTCTTTGCTCAAATCTGAGGTATATTACCAGTTAGTGCGCATTCCTGCAAGCAAGATATCAGTTTTCAGGAGTTACACAGTCCAATCAATGGTATGGATCTTTGCAATTACAGCAGAAGTCACCAGCCTTCCAATGTGGTATAAATGTTCATCATCGAAATCGCGATGTTCCTTCTAAAACAATTAAGAGCTGTCATATATATGTAATTAGATCAATAAATCAAGCAACCGAATTAAGGATGTCCAATGAATACCTTGATGGCATCACAAACTGCATTGTGCTCTTTAATGAAGAGAGCCTGCAGTGTGGAGACACCTGCCCAACTGTTTCGAACATCTCCTGACAATGCAATTCCTTGGTCATGAAGAAGAAGCCCATCTTGAGGTTCCCATCCTTGAAAGTCCTTAGTTTACGCAACCTTTCCACATTGGCACCATATATAACACTTCCATCCCTAGAAGGTCACGAATGATACATCTATGAATACATGCTATAGGGTACAAGTAAGATCAACAATTGTCAAGATAAATAATATTTAGTCGTAATCTATGTTTGCCAAGTTAAATAATTCTGCGGTTAAAATGATGCATGACACACGCAGCGTCCACATTATGGTGAACTTACCATCTTCTTAAGAGCATGAACATAACCATTTTAAGCACAATTTACCATCAAGTTTGCTGCCTGATTCCACATGTATCAATCAATATGCTTGCTTGTCAGACCGAGGTTTCTCTCTTCAGCCAAATCTCCACAATCGGTATCGCTCCTGTCGCCGAGCGGATCTACGATGGGGGGTGACTAATCCGCTGTTTCTCCTCCTTCCTTGTCAATTTCTATGTCACCTACCATCATCTCATAAAACGAAGTGAAATGTCATCGTAACTTTTGGCTCCTTTTGGAAAGCACTGTAATGTCCCAACAAATATTTAAAAATTTGAAGATCAAGTGTTAGCAGAGTTTGACGCTAGTTAAGGATAAATTATTTCTTTAATAAAGTCAAAATCTGATGTTTAAAACCTCCCACGTCCTAACCTACTGGCCAATAGCCAATGCTCTGGAATTGGGCAAAAGGCCCATCCTCGGAATCATTCCTGACCCACTACCATCAAGCCGAACTGTGTCATCAGAGCCCAATTGTAGCCATCAAGGTCCATGGGAGCCCAAAATGCAGGCTCAACTCACCAAGTAATCCTATTAACTGCCCCAAATTCTAAAATGGGCTGAAAGGCCCATATTCAGCACATCAAAAGCCCAAAGTACTATTCTCTCCACTCCTTCCACCTATTGCCTCTGCTTCAAACTTCAAACAAGGAGGCTGAAAGCAAAGAATCCCCTATCCCAAATTAACAATCCCCAAATCAAAAAGCCTGCATTGAAACCCCTATAGACCCTTTAAAACGAAATCCAATGGGGGAAACGAGAAAACGAGGCCGCAAACCGAAAACCCCAGCATCAACCACCGAAACTATGGACTTCCAATACACCGCCGCAGCCGCTGCCCAAAACGACGCTGTTACCGCCCAAAACGACGTCTTTATTGCTGCAAACGACGCCGTATCGACCGCCACCGCCAACAACCCACCACAGCGCGACGCGGGCCGAGGGCGACCCAGGAAGTCGCGGAGCGGGGCACACGGAGGATACGGAGCCGCACGTGGCGGCGTCTCGGAGCGGAGACCTTATCAAAACGGCGGGGTGGTGGTGGAGCTACCTCCGCAGCCAGTGGCGAAGTGGGAGAGTGTGGCGGCTAGGGTGCTGCCAGCGATGGATGCGGTGGTGAAGGTGTTTTGCGTTCACACGGAGCCGAATTATTCGCTGCCGTGGCAAAGGAAAAGGCAGTATTCTTCAAGTAGTAGTGGGTTTATAATTGGAGGGAAAAGAGTGTTAACAAATGCTCATTCAGTGGAACATTATACTCAGGTGAAGTTGAAGAAAAGGGGGTCTGATACTAAGTACTTGGCTACTGTTTTGGCTATTGGGACTGAATGTGATATTGGTAAGTGAAAGTTTTGACTTCTTTTTAGAATTTTTTGAAGTGCTCTCTCAAGCTGTTATGTGGGAATTTTCAATCTTTTGGGGATCGTTTTGGGTTTGGAGGTAGTTAAGTGGTTTGATTCTAATAGTGTTGAAATGAATAAAAAATGGTATTGGGTATTTTGTATTCGAGTGACGGGGTAGGGTATATAAAGTGTAGAGTTTTTCGTGGGAATTCGTTTTGAATGCTTGCAAGGCACTTAGAGGCAGTTTGTGTTTTTGCTTGTTTCTTTTTTTTTTTCCTCGCCCTTTTGGGTTCAGTGAAGTTTGAGTAGTGTGATTTTGCTGTATTGGAAAGGCCAGAGGACCAATTATTGATTTTGCTTGTTTTAGACAATTGGTTGATATGTCTATGTTTAGAGTAAATTGAAGTGATTTTTAGTGTTGAAACAGGTATATGTGGAAATAGCTCCTCTCAACATGTTTTCTGAATTTTCCGACTGCTTTGTTATGGATAGAGGCCTACTTGTGCTCTAGGAGAAACTAGATTTATGTGATTTGATTTTGTAAAAATGGCTATTGATTAAAGAAGGGTAATGTTGGAGTTGATTGATTAATAAATTTCTTTCATTTTGGGGATGATGCAGCAATGTTAACTGTTGGCGATGATGAGTTTTGGGAAGGTGTTTCGCCTGTTGAGTTTGGAGATTTGCCTGCACTACAAGATGCTGTAACTGTTGTGGGCTACCCGATGGAGGTGACACAATCTCTGTTACGAGTGGTGTTGTATCACGTATTGAGATACTCTCTTATGTTCATGGGTCAACGGAGCTCTTGGGACTACAGGTTGTGAAATTAGTTCTAGCTTCTGGCGGTTCAACATGTCTGCTTGTTATGTTTATTGACCTCTTGCAGTTGATATTCTGTTTCAGATAGATGCAGCTATAAACTCTGGAAATTCTGGCGGACCTGCCTTCAATGATAAGGGCAAATGTGTTGGTATTGCATTTCAATCTTTGAAACATGAAGATGTGGAAAATATTGGGTATGTCATACCTACACCAGTCATAATGCACTTCATTCAGGATTATGAAAAGAATGGAGCATATACAGGTATTATTCCAAGCAGTATCATTTTATTAAGTTCAGTCCAGTCATCATTCTTAGCTCTTTTTGCCTGGTTGTTTTTGGAATTAGAAAGTGGTATGACTTCAATTTTATTTCTGGTATATGTGCTTGAATTCTTACTCTAGTCCTCATGGTCATTTCTGTTTTAGGCTTCCCAATCCTTGGTGTTGAGTGGCAAAAGATGGAAAATCCTGATTTGCGCTTGGCAACGGGGATGAAACCTGATCAGAAGGGGGTCCGTATTAGGAGAATTGAGCCCACCGCTCCCGAATCTCATCTTCTGAAGCCATCTGATATTATACTTAGTTTTGATGGGGTAAAAGTTGCTAATGATGGAACAGGTAAGTTATTTCCTTTACCTCCCCGTGTTAGTAGGACGTGATGCTATTATGTTTATCAATAAAATTTTTACGTATGAATTTATGTATGCATATATGCATATTTCTTTATATTTTTCTAGTAATTTTTGCATCATCACTAGAGTCTAGACTATTCTCAGAGTCAGAATATTTTTATTTGCCTTTCTAGAACTAAAAGTTAATTCTTGTTTTTATTTTTGGTAGATTAGATGCAGATGTTTCTGTAGGATGTCCTTCTGAATTGAGAATGATGATTTGGCTGTGGTTACTTAACTTACACAAAAATTTGCTATGGAGACATTGTTTAGCATAATCGGGGGTCATCTATGAGAACTAGGTATTACAAGCAGTGTTTATTCTTAGTTTAATCAGGAGGTAGTTTTAAGGTCTAACAGATTTGGTTTCTTATAGTGCCTTGGTGCCCTAAAAGTTCTTTTTAACCTTGCAGAGGAGAGATTTCCTTAACAATCATGGCTGATATGATTTTTGGCCCAAAGAATTTAAAATTGTAACCAGAATAGAATCTTCAATTCTGAAAGTTGAATTATTCATGTGGTCTCTTTTGGTATTCAATATATTGCCTAATTTATAATATGAGTTCCGGAGTTTTGCAGTTTTCTCTACATATGAAAGTTTTTTCAGTTGTGGGTTCAGATGTTTTTTCATCAGCTGTGGTGGAGTGATGGTTGCTGCATAATGCTGGCCAACTAACATTTTACTATGAAGTGGAAAGTCCACTAGATGACGCTCACTTGTTTGAGTCCAGTTGTCTGTTAACTTTTAGTTTATTTAAGTATGTGGCAGTGTGTTAAATGGGAAACATCCTCCTGACCTTTTCTTTCTCTTTTATCTTACCCAAAAAAAAAAAACAGTTCCATTCAGGCATGGGGAGCGCATAGGTTTCAGCTATCTTGTTTCTCAGAAGTATACTGGGGATACTGCATTGGTTAAAGTTCTGCGTGATTCGGAGATAGTTGCACATGACATAAAACTTGCGACTCACAAGAGGCTCATCCCAGCACACACCAATGGGAAACCTCCTTCTTATTACATTATCGCTGGATTTGTTTTTACAGCTGTAACTGTTCCATACTTGCGTTCTGAGGTGCGTAGTGATAACTCTCTCTGTATGTGTGTGTTTCTTTCTCTCGAACTTGGTAAAGCAGTTGTTGGTGATTGTTTAAATGCATAACGAACTCTTTGTTTTAGCTTTTTGTTTCCTGTCTTTGTTGCGTTATTGAGACACTTGATTGGATTTCTTGTGATTGGTGGGACAAAGGGCTCCATTAGTGATGTTTGAGGTCTGCATTATTGGAGTGGTACACCATTCCTTCTGCTGTCATAGGAAATATTCAAGAGCTGTTTAATGTATAATTTGTCTTATCCATTGCTCAGAATTTGGAAAGCATCCATAAACTTGTTAAAGTTTTGTTCTAGTCTTGTGTGTGTCTGTGTGTGTGTGTGTGTGTTTTTATGTTTTATAGAACAATTTGTACATTGTCACTTATTTGCTAGATTCCCATCGTTTGGGGTCTGAAACCTACTTCATTCTTTCATTTTCATCTATTGTCGCAAATATGGTGAGCCTATCTTCATGAGTGTATGCTGAAGACTGGTTATGTTTTTATGTTTTGCTGTTTGAGTGGTCTAGTTTGCTTACTCCTAACATCCCTGTTTCTCTCATCTCCAGTACGGGAAGGATTATGAATTTGATGCACCAGTCAAACTATTGGATAAGCATCTACATGCAATGGCAGAGTCTACGGATGAACAGCTTCTTGTTGTTTCACAGGTCCCTGTTTTTTCTCATGTTTTTCCTTCTAAGACATTTTATAAATATTTACAATGTAAATTTACAGTCTGGTATAACAGGATGATTTGGTTTTCTTTCTTGTTCATGCAATAAACTTAATTTTTTAGAATTTTTCCTTCATTCTCAGGTGCTTGTGGCTGACATAAATATTGGATATGAAGAAATCGTCAATACTCAGGTCAGGGAGTGTTTCGAGACATTGCTGATGATGTAATGCATCTTAAAACAATAAAGAACACATGTTAAACTCTTTCTTTTAATATCTTTTATTTAGGTTCTTGCTTTCAATGGCAAACTTGTGAAGAATCTAAAGAACTTAGCTCATATGGTTGAGAACTGCAATGATGAATATTTAAGATTTGAACTGGAATATCAACAGGTTTTCCCTCTTTCTTTCTCGCATAAACACACCTAAACACACACACACACACACACATATTGGTTTTGCTGATTCTTCAACTTTGCCATGCAGATAGTAGTGCTACAAACCAAGGCTGCAAAGGCTGCAACTTTAGATATTCTAACCACACATTGTATATCTTCTGCAATGTCTGATGATCTCAAGACCTGATAGAAGGTTGAGGGGAAACACAAAAGATAATTGACGTGATTCTACTTTTGCATGTCTCCTCTGGAACATGATACAACCTAATGGAGTTATATTTGCCTGTACAAGCGGCCGTTGAGGGGTACCGCATAGTATTAAGTTTTGCCTCTTCCTTTGCGGGTGTAGTTATAGCCGGGTTGCACTCTTAGTTTTAGTTTACATTGGAAGGAAACAGAGAGGATATGAAGGTAAAGCTTTTTATTACTTCTTTGTTCTTATTTTACTTCTTGTAGAACAATGTATAGTCAAGTAGAGTTAATAACATATGGTATTGGAATTATACCAAACCATACATTTTGGTATCCGAATTAAAAGAATTTATTATTGCATTTATTTAAAGGAAAATTCAAACTAAGATGCTAATTAAATTTGTGAGAGCAAAATTAAAACTTTTCTTAAGTTTGGGGTAATTACATCATCCATCTATAAGTTGTACCATCTGTTTTCTATGCACAAATTTTGCTGGCAGATGGATTTGACATGGACCGAAGCCTGAAATAGGGGAGGCCGAGGTCTGAAGCAGACTTTGTAACCTATGTGCAGTGAAGAAATGATCCATCTCCTGCACTCTTGACTGCAGATGTGTTTTTGCCATTTGCAGATGGTGGTTCAGCAATGTGATTTTTGACATGCGTTTGTTTCTACTTTCTAGACATGTTCGTTTTTATAGCTTTGCAGCAGGGGGACTTTGTGGGCAGATGGTGACCCTCTGCTGCTGTCACTGACACTGTCACTGACATTTTCCTCCGCCATCTCTTCTTTTGCTTTTCCCCACATCACCGTATAAAATCCAATCGATATTATTGTTGCTCCAATGAGACTGCAACAAAATCCTCCGATTAGCTACAATATAAACTGATGAAATAAAATTAACCATGACGACAACAAAAGGCAGTGCTTTGTTTTATACCTCCCAAGATGCAGAGTATCACCTAGGAACATCACACCCATGGCAGCAGCAATGGCGATCGACAATGGCTTAAACATTGCCACGAAAACAGGTCCCTTCAAGCGCAGAGCCCATGTATGGACGGTATTGTTCAAGCAAGAACCAAAGAGACCCTAAACAGAGAATGTGGGCAAAACATTACATGGGAAATTCAGAGTAGGACTATTTAACCAACTCCTGTGTGCATCCGTGGTGCACTATTTTCTTACCGAGCAAACGACAGAGGCCAATGCTATATCTGGCCTCATTCTCCAAGCACTTGCATTTCTTTCTGAGACTAAACCAACAATTGCAGCTGTGAAGCTCACACATAAATTGTAAAAGAAGACTACTGTTAGTTCTGCCGGATACTCCTTCATGATCTGTGTCTGCATAACATTACAGAATCTATTTATTTCTTCCAATTTCCCCAAAGGGTACCACCATTTCCGCAAACATTTTGGAAAAATGTTTGCATGTTTTATAATTTGTAAACAAACTCTTACCTGAACAATGTACCAGAGTGGAACCAGGATATACTCAGCAGTGAGGAAAACGCCACCAATGACCCAGTTTGGGTTTGCAGAGTGAAGTCCACCAAAATCCAAATTTGATTTTGATGAATTAAGGGGTTGTTGAAGTGACATGGAAGGTGTTGAGGCTATGACTATTGCTGGGCCCTTGTAGAGGGTCACCACAAATGCACCTATAACTGATATTATGGTGCCTATCACTTTAGCCGCACTGCTTGTTCTCTTCCAAACTAGCTTCTCCATTCTTCCAAGTTGCAAGAAAAGAAAAAGGAAAATAAATCAAAATACAAGAAAGAAGAGAGAATAACAGACCATCGATTGTGGTCCTCAGAAAAAAAAAGGACTTGCCCCACTACACCGTAGAAATTGTCAGCCACTTGACAACACCGTACTCAAAAACTGCAAAAGTGAACCCCAAGTACCATCCAAAAAGCTAGAGGCATCTCACAACCGAAAGACGTTATCCAATGGACAGAATTAACTGATGAAAATCTATTCTAAACTGTCTCTGACCAAATGAATGTAGCTGCCAGTCCAAGTACTTTATCATAAAGCAAACGAGAGGGCAACCACTTTTCAAAGGATTTTGTGCACCAAAGGATGCTTTGCTAATTGGTGGTGGAACAAAAGTTACCCGAAAATGATGGCTAGGATGAATGTAAAAGCTGGTGTGAGGTTGCTGATTGCAGAAGCAAGAGTAGGAGAACTGTAAGTGATGCCTGTGTACCCCATGATCTGAGATGAACTCCTGTTCCAGTTTCAAAACAATCAAGTTAAAAAACACAACAAAATTTTCTATGAATGAAGAAAAATTAACGAAGGACGAATCGGCTAAAATCATGGTTCTTGATTCTAAAATTATCACAACTCTATCAGCCAAACCCAGTTACCCTATAAGTCCCAGAAGTCCAATTTTGCATAGAATAGGGAAGCTGAGTGGAGGAAGCACTCTTGATCTGCAAGAACCAAAGAGAAACAAATCAGAAATGACCACTTTTTGGCTTGCATATCTATAGTCTAAGATTGACAGACCAAGTGATGAGAAAGGAGGACCTGTAAGAGAAGAAAGGAGCAGGAAGGAGAACGAGAGCAGCTATGGCATAAGCATAGACCACAAAAACGTGGTAGCTCATGCCCTTCAAAGTAGCAGCTTTGAAAAGTGTGTTTAGCCCCACGTTTGCACACTCCATTGTCACCATAGCTGTGAACGGCAGCACATCCTTGTAACAATACCTCCATCTGCACACCATCTTTTCTTGTCTCAGTTTCTGTCAAAACCGAACAGAAACACCCCCCAGAGAAAAACACTGTAAAAATGGCTTTCGTGAAATTGTATGGTACTGTTATTGGTGAGGGGTGACTAGACAAACAACAGAAGCTGATCGTTACTTTATTATATGTGATTTCCTATGTGCTATAATTATTGGTCCCATGCGTTTTCTCATTTGACAAGCAAAGGAAAGAGTGGAGATAAGGCTATGTTTTTTTTTTTTTGTTTCATTGTTGGAAGGTGCAATTTATGATGTTTATAGTGGATTATAGTTAGTGATACATATAGCTTGTCCTAAGAATAAATAAATTCGGTTTATAGTGTGAAAAGTATCTTCCTTCATCAAATAATTTAAGATCTCATTTCATCATAGTTATTATATATTGGTTTTCATAATGTCCAAAGAAGAAAATGATCTTCCTAGTTGAAACCTCCATGATGGCAAATGTGTCATGGTCCAGGCTAGACTGACTCTGCTGCACCACCAAGAATTATTTCTCAGTAGTTGATGCTGATGGTGCCAAAGATAACTCTAAGCACACAACAGAACATCTTTTAAAGTTTGGTTATCAACAAACACTAGTCCAAATTCTAGTCACATCACTTGCTTTTTTGAGCTGATGGGTGCCTAAGAAGGATTAGTGGTGGTGTAATTAAAGCATAACAGTAATAAAGAAAAAGGCCGGTGCATGCCGAGAGAAGTTAAAAAGGACAAAATCTTGACATCCCAACGAAGAAGACACCACCTTGGGGTACAGCAAATGCTGCAGTTTGTAAGAGGCAGGCTGCGGCCGGATCCCAAACGCAAAGGCAAAGCAACTTGAGACCCTACGCACTCTCTATCCCCATTTTGGAAAAGGGGAACGTGTCCTCCACACTCTCTTTGAATAGGACATTTCACGATTCATCACTGCCTAAAAGCCAAAAGGAATCGTTTGCTTCACTTTCCTTGTGGCACTCTTTAACAGTTTTTCCCTTTACTCAAATTGAATATTTGTTATATATTTTTGAAAATTTAATTACAAATAAAATATACTAAATAGTGGTTAATATTATTTTTATTTAACCAAAGAAAAAGTGAAAATTGACATTAATTTAGAACCAAAAAGAATAATTAATTACAAAAAGTACTTTTGAGAAGGCTCAAGGAGCCCAAGTACCATCAAGCCGTAGCCCAAACAGTGCCAGCTGGGGATAGCTGGCTGGCCCAAAGGAGGCACGATGGGCTCAATCTGATGGCCTTTTGAAATGCCCGAACCCAACAATTGCCCAATAGCCATTAAGCCCTTTCTATCACGTGGGACCATAGAATGGCCGACCAGGTCACGTGATGGCCTCCACGTTGTCCGTGAAACATGTTTATGAGGTTTCGTGTTTGTCTCTTTAGAATTTATATCGCTTAATAAATATTAAATATATAAATATTGCATTTTGGGAATCCAAGTTTCTGTACATGGAGCTCTGTTTTTCAGTTCTTCAGCTTTATTGGAAACAAAATGGCTTACTAAGCTCAGAGTTGTTTTGAATGGATTCATTACTGAGTCCTAGCTTCGTTACATTGGGTTTGCAGCAAAGGCGCCTGGGAGGAGGATGCCAAGCTGCTAAAGCCAGAGTCAGCCATTTTTTCTTTTGCTTTTCCCCATATTACAGCATAAAATCCTACAGATAATATCACTGCTCCGATGACACTGCAAAATTTTGAGTTTAGGTCCAGCGTAGCAAATTGTGTATATGTAAAAAGTAGCTTCTTAAATGATTCTGCTAAGATAAGGAGAGAATTTTTGTACCTTCCAAGATGCAGAGTATCACCAAGGAATATAGCACTCAAAACAGCTGCAATAGGGATTGACAATGGCATAAAAAGTGCTACATAGACAGGACCCTTAACGCGCAGGCCCCAGATGTGCACAAGAACGCCAAGGAATGTCCCAGTAAATCCCTAAACAGAAGTAGTAAACTCACATTTAGAGAATGTCTAGCCTGCCTTGAAATTTTGTAATTGGTTAATGAATTCTTACAGAGTATACAACTGCAACTTTTGCTATGCTAGGCCTTAGTCTCCAGGCACTCAAGCTTGATTCTGCTAGCAAGCATACTGGTGCAGATATAATGGTTCCACATAAGTTGTAACAGAAGACTACGATCAGCTCTGCCGGGTATATCTTCATAACCTGTGTCTGTAGGTGCCTAACTAATCCAAGGTTAGTGTTCTGTATACAATTGAAAGTTTTCCGTGGGGTTGAGGGGGTGATCTAGTAACAAGCATTACCTGAATTATGTAGCAGATGGAAGCAAGGAGATACTCAACAGCAAGTAGGAGGCCACCAGTGGCCCAATTTGATTGTGAGGACTCAAGAGGCCAATATGATACAGATGATGATGGTGTCAAAGTGGGAGATGAAAACACTTCGGGGCCCTTGTAGAAAATAATCACTAATGCACCTGATATTGATGCTATGGTGCCAATAATTTTAGCTTGAGTGCTTGAGCTTCTCAATTCCCCATTTTCCATTCTTGTTATGTGCACCCAGAGAATTGGAAAGGGAAGGACCTAATTAGAAACTAGCACAACGATTATAGCTATGGATTTCAAGCTTACAAGTTACAACTTGGATTTTGACTCTTTACAAATTTAGTGTATACAATTTGATTTATCTTTGCTGACTATCATGTGAGAGTATGTCAGGTGACACCATTTAACTTGGGAGGAAGACTGTGAACGTAGATAATTGTAATTAATGCACAAATCTTTGTTTTTATGCAAATAGGAATGTGATCAGATATCTTCTTGTTGGAAGATGATCACAATTCTGGAAATGGAAGAAGCTGACCTGGCGAAAAGGATCAGAGGAGGAAAGGTGACGTTTCTTCAATTCAACAGCCTATACGCCAAGCTTGAATGTCGTTTCATTTAAGTTAGTTTTTAGTTTACTCAATACGACTATAGCCTATGTCATTTTTCACTTTACCTTTGGTAAATACAGCCTGAGCGTGTCATATTTGATGTTTTGTTAGCTGATATGCCAAGTGTTCAATTTCTATTTGGTAACCGTTGCCTGTCACTGAAACCAATGCATAGATTTCAGTGCACAGCCAACCATTTTTCATTCTCTTTCTTCGAGGTTCACTATAGTTGCTAATATCTCGGTGATTTCTTCTTAATCATAGTATATATATATATATATGTGAATATGAGTAGAAGATGTGTGAGCCTCTGTTTTTGAGCTCTACAATTGGTTTCCAGATTCATCTTTTTTCTTTGTTCTTTCTTGTTCACTGCCAAACCTCTAAAATCACAACACTTCTCAACCTTACAGCAATTGATTCCATTCTCAGCCTGATACTGACTTGCACTCTGATTTTCTTTCTCTCTACATTATCATTTGCTAATAATTATTTATTCACACTCTATTTTGACATCTTTTATGTTTATCAAATGTTGGAGTTCATCATGTGCTCATCACTTTAAGAGTATTTGATTGCAAATGATATAAGCTCTCTTACAAATTAATTAAATTCTTAACTTAAGGTAGTCATAAGCAAACAAACCTGAAAATGATGGCAAGGATGAAGGTAAACGCCGGAGTGAGGCTGCTGATTGCTGAAGCCAGAGTTGGTGAGCCATATTCTATACCTTTATATCCGCACATATGAGCTACAAACCTGTCACAAGCATTCTTTAGTAATTTGACTGTCTTGTAATCTTTTCCAGGCTGACGACAGATTGAAAGGAATTCTATGCAATAACATGTTACAGCTTTAAGAATGCTTCAATACCCAATAAGCCCGAAGAGACAAATTCTAGAGATAAGAGGGAACTTCAATTGGGGAAGAACTGCTGTGCTGCATATATCACTCAGACAAAGATGTTAGCTCATTATGTTCTAATGGAATTATTTGAGGTTATCAAATTATGCATGTGTTTCTAGATGACTGACAGATGGAAGGACCTGCGAAAGATTAAGGTAAAAGGGAGGAGAATAAAAGTAGCAACAACATAAGAGTATGTGATGAAGACATAATAGCTCATTCCTCTCAAAGTGGCTGCTTTGAAAAGAATTTTTGAGCCCACACTAGTGCACTCCACTGCAACCATTGCTGTGCATGGAAGGACCTCCTTGCGGAAATACTCCAATGCCATCTACCCCTCTTTCTTATCTCTCCTTGATCAGTTTCTTACTTCCCTGATTTCTCTCCCATTTGCAGTATTATTTACGTCATTTCTTTTAGTGTCGTTTGGAAGCAAACAAAAGGAAAACAGAAATTCGCCAACCAATAATTGTAGTTTGAACAGTTTATGTATTTACTACCACACAATAACACAGCACAAAGTCAGGATATCATAAGAAACACGTTTTTTAACTATAGTTGTACTGCTGGAGTGCATATACTGCTTGAAATTTTTAATTGATTGAGGAGTTATCTTTGTGATTTTTATCCATAGTCAAGCTAGTTTACATTTTTTCCATTCGTGAACCAACCATGCAACATTCCTGCCAGAAATATCATAAGGTAACTGAAATTCCCAAGTCCTTACGGAACTTATAATCAAAGAGATGACTTTAAGGCCCTTACATGACGCATACCAAGCTAGTTTTTAGCGATTTTAATGGAAACTGAGCAATCACAATGCAGATCCTGCTAATCTTGAACAATAAGATCATACAATCTGAAAATTGTCAACTTGGTAAGAACTGACCAGGATGCGTGTGAGAAGTATAGTTGACAGTCTCGGTGGGACTAAAATGGGATGGTTAAAAATGGATAGGTTTCTTTCAACTGATCAAATGCAGGATTTGGCGGGCCTTCTCAAACCACAGGAGAACATAGTAGTGAAAAGACAAATATTGAGTTACAAAACTAACGGGACTAAAGTTTTCCAAGCTTCGGACAAGAAGGCAATCCATCATTGTCTGATGCCATATCGTCTTTCATTAATGAAAGAGAGCATTGGGAGGTGTCTTTGCTTAAGATAGATGAGGTTGTTAATGCTACATTCACACTAAGACAACCCATCATTCCACCATTCCATACAGCGCAATCTTTCATCACAATTAGGAATTTGCTAAATCCGGAAATTTGGATTTTCCTGTAAAATGGCGATCATCTCATCCTCGGTGTCACACTTTAAGAATGCTGCTGTGTACACTTGACGTTTTTAATCAAAAGGATAACAAATACAGGTGATGCGTTGTCTCTGACTTATTCCAAGTTCTATGAAACTCTTTTTAAGTCTTTTGGTCTCTGTATTGCATTTGTATTGAACAAATTACTTAATGATTCAGAAAGCTTGAAATGAATCATCGAAGACTACGACTATTTTTCCATCCAATCTTTGTGCTACCGTTGGAATTTTTTGGTAGGTCGATGCACACAACATAACCAGTGGTTAACCTGAACTAAAAGAGCGGACCAAGTGAATTTTATTTTGATCAAAGTAATGGTGGTCTAATATTTCCCTGAAAATAAGAGGGGAACTGAGACTTTCACATTTCAAAGCCAGATTACAATACAGAAATATACAGCCATCAGGATTTTTTAATGCAACATAATCTACCTAGCGTTTCCTAGGATATGGAAGCTGCGTGGACCTTACACAAAAGAGGACTACATCATTTCACTAGGTCTGTGGCAGACATAGCTGCATTTTTCATCTGTCACGTACATCACTTTCAAAGAACTGTTTTACCTCCAAAAATATCTTCAAAATGATCTCAAAGTTCTACCAGCTACATATCTTCCACCTTATGGCTTTGCAACAAAGGAACCTTACCACTGGAAGAGGGCTCCAAGCTGTTTATTCCAGAGTCATCGTCAATCCTTTGTTCTTCTTTTGCCTTCCCCCAGATTACAGCATAAAATCCCATAGATATGATAACTGCTCCAACAAAACTGCAAAATTAAGATTGAACTAAGCTTATCATTTGTGATTATAAAGGGAATGGCTAACCAAAGTAAAATATTTGCCTTTGAAATGATTCTGCTCGATACTGCTAAAGGAAAAATATGAAATTGAAAGATAGTTTTAGTACCTTCCCACATGCAGAGAATCACCTAGGAAAACGGCACTCATGAAAGCAGCAATGGCTATTGATAGTGGTTTGAAAATTACAATGTAGACAGGCCCCTTCAAGTGAAGGCCCCATATGACCACAAGAGAGGAAAAGGTTTGGAAAATTCCCTTGACAAATAGAGAAACTCACATTTAGATACTACCAATTGTCTTCTACTTAATTGTAGTTTGATCACTAAATTTCTTACTGAGTATAGCACCGCAATAACTGATACGCTAGGCCTGAGAATCCAAGAACTCAAGTTTGGTTCTGCTATTAAGCAAACTGGTGCAGAGATAATGGTCGCACATAAGTTGTACAAGAAGGCTACAATTATCTCAGCTGGGTATATCACCATAACTTGGGCCTGGAAAGATCAACCTAATTAAAGTTTAGTTCTTTGGTAAAAACTTAAAAATTTTCTAAAGTGAGGAATTTGCATAAGAGTAAATAGTTTTCCAGAAGAACCAGGGTCCCCTGGAAATATACATGTTTTACCTGAATAATGTAACAGAATGAGAAAAGAACATAGGCAACAGTGAGTGAGATCCCACCAATGACCCAATTTGATTCTGATGACTCCAGGGGCCATTCAAGTAAAACAGATGATGATGTCCAAGGTGGAGAGGAAAAAACTTTGGGACCCTTGTAGAGAACAACTACTAATGCACCTGATATTGATGCTATGGTCCCCAAGACTTTAGCTTGACTGGATGAGCTTCTCAAGGCTACTCTTTCCAATCTTGTTAGTTATGGTATCCAAGGAAAGTGAGAAAAAACAAGACTCAGGCTACTATCTTCTCAAATTTACGAGAAGTCTGAGACAAAACAACAGCAACTTATGCACAATTTTTGCTAGTAATTTATGTCACTGTCTGTATCTGACCAGATCAAATATCCTGCATATGGTCACTCCTACATTCAAAAGCTTTCATAGTATAAAATTGTGATTTTTGTGAAATTAAGCTACAATTATTAAAAAAAGATTTTAAATCTTTCTGATGAAATTGAGTGATCAGCTTTGGGTTTTTAATTCTCAACTTCTCCATTATTTATCTGTCCATCCTTTATTTTTGTAATCTTCATTGTGAGAATGATTTCAAGGCTATATGTATTTTAATTTCAAAGGCTAGTTGAAGTTTAAAGGAGCGATGCCATACGAGTATGCAAGATAAAATGTAGAGTTTGAGATGATGAAGAACTGCTAGGAGAAGAAGGAAGAAACCTGGTGAGAATAGCAAGGATGAAGGTAATAGCTGGTGTGAGATTGCTGACCGCAGAAGCCATAGTTGGGGAGCTATATTCTATACCCTTGTATGCACATACTTGAGCTGAAAACCTGCTCACAAAAGGAAAAGCGATCTTGGTTTTTCTGTTACCATCTTCTAATCTTTTTCAAGCACTAGAAACTGATGACATCCCATAAATAGAAAAAAGAAAGAAATCTACAGCTCAGTTCAATACCCAATAAGCCCTAGAAGGAAAATTCTAGAGACAAGATGGAACTTCAACCGGGGAAGCACTGCTCTACTGCAGACATCAAAAGCGAACATAGATGTATCATCCAAGTGCAAAAATTTGAATGGATTTGGACAGGAAGACAGCATGTATATGTAAACATAAGAAAGGCAAATGGAAAGACCTGGGAAAGATGAAGGATAAAGGGAGGAAAAGAATGGTGCCAATAGCATAAGAATAGGCGATGAAGATGTAGTAGCTCATCCCCTTCAAAGTTGCTGCTTTGAATAGAATGTTGAGGCCTACGTTCATGGACTCTAATGCAACCATAGCTGTGAATGGCAGGACATCGTTGTAACAAGACCATCTTGCCATGATCTTCTCTTCCCCCTCTCCTGCCTTTCACTAGTTTGAAATGGAGAAACGGTCTCTCCTATCCCCAAATCAGAGGCTATACAAGGGAATCTTTTATCTCCTATTTTGTAGCATTAACTTTCAAGGCAACATCATCTTCCTTCTCTTTTTAACCATGGTTGGTAAGTGAGGTTGTTGGCTTGTTCTAGTTCTTATGTAATCTCTTTGGTCTTGTATTGAGAAAAATGTATAATCGAGCAAAACTTTGAAAATTTGTGCATGATATCGACTTGCACACTTTAGTTTCCTTGTTTTCCACCTACACATGCTCTGGTTGAATGATCTGTTCTTTTCCACCAAAGCTGGACTTCATCAGGCGTCCGCGAGCCAAGTTGCCTGTCCTGATATATAATTTTAATAATAAATAATAAATATTAATTTTATTATAATTTTAAAATATAAATATTTTATTAATTTATCAATTAAATAATACCTCAATTAATTAATAAATTTTTAAAAATATTAATTTATACATTAAAAAAAATGAAGAGTATTTGTCAACCGACTATCGTTGGAAAGAGCATTGCCACAACAAATTTCGGTGTCCCCCATGAGTGTTTCGTTGTCTGTCGGCCCATCTCGTCATTTCAAGTCCAAGCTTTGAGATCGCCATCTTGACACCACGCCGTCGCCAAGGTGGTGCGTGGCTGAACGTGCCGCCTCCGGTAATTCTCTTTGAGTTGAAAATAACGTGAAGCTGATTCGGAGGCACGTTTTTTATACCTTCGTCGCAAGAAATTTGGAAGTAATTTATTTTTTTTGTTTTAAGATATTTCATAATTAATATTTTCAGAAAATTTATTTTAAAATAAAAATATTTTGAAAAATATTTGAGTCTCACTTGCCTGTGTGAAGGGGGACCATGCATTGTTTTTCAAGTCAACGAAAGTTTATGCCACATCACATATGTTAATGAATTTTTCAATTTTGAGGCTTATAGTTTTCTTCATAATCTCTAATATTATTGATAACTTTATTTTATAAAATTATTTTATATTTTTTTTAATTTAAAAATGATTATTATTTTTTTATTTTTAATTAATTTAGACTTTATTTTTATATATTTTTTAGTAGTTTAAGTAAGTAATTTGAGTTTATTTTCATATTATTATGTCTTATTTGTACTTTTTATTAATTGTCTGACTACAATAAATTGCATGTTGTGTGGATAACAGCTTGAGTGCTTAGGCATCGAATGCACTGCTCAGCACCTTAAAATGGCCAAGGATAGAGCTTGGGGCCCATGACTTTGCACATTATTGGCCATCCTATTTTACATCAAATGGGCAACAAATAAGGTATAAATACAATCTTTTTATAATTAAAAAAAAAAGAGATTTAGACACAAAATTAGGCAAAAGGGGGTTGGAACCAAGAGGGAAAAAGAGGAGGAAATCAAGAGATTGAAAGATCAAAAAGTAGCTCCAAAGAATTTCTCACTTTAGATTTGATTTTCTCTCTTTTAACTCTTTATGTAAAAATGTTTCATTTTGCTGGAATTTGTGTTTGTATTTTGAATATGTTGAGCTAAAACTCTTAATCTAGGATTATGGTGAAATTTAATATGTATCTTGGTTATTGTGTTAGTTTCTTACTTATTTTCTATAGAAACATTGATGTTAACTCAAATTTGAAATTATTGCCCGTTTATTTACTTGATCACCATTTAAATGTGTTTAAGTATTTAAACGATACTTAAGAGAGTTAATCTAAATTAGATCTTGATTTTAGATAACGTGTATTCACTACACTTAGAAATGAATTTAAATGTTTTGATGTGTAATTAGGATATACATACGCGTAGTTGCCACATATAGTCAATTTTTAAAACTTTAACTTTAAGAATTTAATTTAATTGTTTCCTATAGACATATAACGATTTAATATACGTTAGGTAATTATGTAATATCTTGATGGAGAATTACACATGTTTTAGGATTTGGGACTAGCATCAATTTCTATTAAGATTAAGTAATTAAGCAAACACAATTTTAAGTGAAATATTAAAGGATACCATAATCTTAGACTATTAGATCATTACTTCCACCTCAATTTGTTATTTCCACTTTATAGATTAAAATTAGTTAATTAGATTATTTTTCAATTATTTCTCAAAATTTAGTGTTCAGATAAAATTAACTTATTTTAATTTTAGTAATTAGCAACGACTAGTAAACTAACTCCTCGGAATCAACAAACTCAATTTATCATTGTATTATTTGTTACGATCATGTGCACTTGTATGTAATCTTTATTTATATTTTGCATTTAATTTTAAGCACATTTCATATCACACAAGCAAAGCAGTACTTCAATCATATAAAGTCCATAACTATAATAAAGTCAATTATTGAGTTAATGTCACAAATTAATCAAACACCAATTTACTTGGTGAATTGACAATAAATTTATAAAAATAATAATAAAAGTATGAATATAAAGGATATATAAAATTGTGTATTAATAACTTTTTTATATAAAAAAATAAAACTCACAACAGACCAATTGCTATTATATAAAACATTTCATCTACAATTTGCCAACCATATGAAGACATTTGCATATGTTTCAAAAGCACTTGATGCTTTTGTCCAAAAATTAATTCAAACAAAGACAAATATTTTAAAACATAAGAATTCTCAAATAACTAGTTACATAGACACAACAAGACAAATCCTTCCTTGTTGGAGGGCCCTTCCTCTCCCTTTGGCTGGTGCAACTGATTTATTAACCAGAAGGGGTTGTTGGCCCAAGCTGTGCTTGTCAATCCATGACCTGAAGTGGTTCAACCAGAAGAAACAAGCTAAAATAATCTCAACTCTGATCTAAGAAACTTATTAAACCTTTTGATTCCCATCGTTCTGCAGGGATAGCATTCAAATGGTTGAGGGAAGAAGCATTGAGCCAGTAAGCTACATTTCTTCATCACTGTGGCTTTGCAAAAAAGGGACCTTACAACCGGACAAGGGTCCAGAGCTAGTACTTGACCCAGAGTCATAGTAAGTCATGTCTTCCTCTTGTGCTTTTCCCCATAGTACAGCATAGAGCCCAGCTGATAAGATCAATGCTCCAATGACACTGCAACATTACCATTGAATTATGCTTGTCAAAGAGTGATTATAGAAAGAATGGCCAACCAAAAGCAGAGATGTTTGCGACATGTTTGAAATGGCTCTACTAATAACTATCAATATTGTACAACTTAAAGCGTGGCTTTAATACCTTCCAAGGTACAATGCATCACCAAGGAAAAAGGCACTCATAATGGCTGCAATGACAATTGACAATGGCCTGAATATTGCAACATACACAGGCCCCTTCAAGCGCACACCCCATGAGTGTACACCAGTGCTGAAGTTTAATGCAAAAAGACCCTAAACAAATTAAGAAAAAGAACATTTAGATAGTGCAAATTATCTCCTTACAATTGTCGTTGATGCTAATTTCTTACCGAGTATAGGATAGAAGCAGCTACTATCCTAGGTGTTGGTCTCCAGGAACTCATATTTGATTCTGCTAGAAAGCATACTGGTACAGATAAAATGGTCAGAGACAAGTTGTAGATGAAAGTCACAATCATCTCTTCTGGGTATATCTTCATAATTTGGGCCTGTAAAACAACAAACAACTCAAGTTTAGTTTATGTGAAAATTTTCTATCTAGGAAAATGCTTATAATTGAACAGTTTTCTAGAGGATCCAGGGAACCTTGCAAACTAGTTTTACCTGAATAATATACCAGAATGAAGAAAAAAGATATGACGCAGCTAGTAAGAGCCCACCAAACACCCACTTTGATTGGGATGATCCGAAAGGCTGTTGAAGCAATACAGATGATGATGACCAGCATGGGGAAGAAAGAACTTGGGGGCCCTTGTAGAGAACAACTACTGATGCACCAGATATTGATGCTATGGTGCCAATGATTTTAGCTCGAGTGCTTGCGCTTCTCAATGCTACTTTCTCCATCCTGGTTTGGAAAGACGGGAGAAAGGAAAATGAAAAATTAAGGGGCTGAAGGTGCTAACATAAACATGAAACAATAGAAAATGTTACATAAGCCTTTCTACTTCTTACATGCCAAATGGCCATCCATACCCATTCTGAAATTAAAAATCTGATTATTTTAGTCTCATCATTGGTGGGAAGTTGTAAAAGTGTTAATCATATTGCTTGCCATATTTTATTTTATATTCTTCACAAATCGCGCCCGCTTCCATTGTTTAACTAGTGGAATTCATCATGTGCCCTTAAAGTATGAATAAAATAAGAAAGGTGAGCAATCAACGTTGCTGACTAATTATTATAGTTTCACCACTATGTATTAGTTAATTGTTTCCAATTAAACGGCCATATTGGTTCAAGATAAAAGACGTAACATGTATATTATTATGTTGGAAATTCCGACGGATTAAGATGCAACAGAAAATACATACGGATAATGAAAACTAAGAGAAGGAAGAAACCTGAAGAAGACAGCAAGCATGAAGGTAAAAGCTGGTGTAAGGTTGCTGATGGCGGAAGAAAGGGTTGGGGAGCCAAGTTCTAAACCTTTATACGCACATAATTGACCTGCAAATCTGTCCCCAAACGATGAACACAGTCTTGGCATATTGTTTTGTTTTTTCTTCGGTACTATATTGTAATCTTTGTCAATCACTAGCAAAAGAGTGCATCAAATGAACAAACAAGAAATCTCTGAGCTTGAGGTTCAGTACTTCCATACCCAACAAGACTGAGAAAGCAAAGTCTGGAGATGAGAGGGACCTCAAATTTGGGAAGCCCTGTTCTGCTGCATACACCAAATAAACATCGGAGCAAATTTTTAGTGAAATTCTAAGAGAACATGCATGTGATTTAGATGATTAGAAGAAGAAAGAAAAGACCACAATAAGAAGCAGGTCAAAGGGAGGAGAGCAAGGGTGGCCAAAACGTAGGCGTAGGCCATGAAGATGTAGTAGCTCATCCCCTTTGAAGAAGCAGCTTTGAATAGAATGTTCTGGACAACGTTGGAGCACTCTACTGCTACCATGGCTGTGAATGGGAGGACATCATTGTAGCAATACCGTCTTGCCATCTCCTCTGATCTATCTCTCTCTTCCTATATCTATCTAAAATATCAGGTTTGCCAACAATATATACTCTCCCTGCTCCCCTTGCTCATTAGAATAGAAGCTAGGGAGAAAGAGAAGGAAGAGACCTGGCCCTTTCCTTCTTCGTTCTAGCATCGACGTCATCATTTTGAATTTTTAATAAAAGTTGGTGGTCATATAATTGACCGGTTGCTTAGGCCACCCAATTTACAACGCTATTTCTCAGCTCTCAATTTGTTCGCTTCCCATTGATTGCATTATGAAAATATTCTGTGATTACATAAAAAAAAAAATTGCTACATCATAAGAGTAGATGAGGTTTTGCTCAAACACACTGCTTAAAACTCCATTCTAGGAAGCTGCTCACTTTGGATTATAGTTCAGCAGATTGTTATATGAAAACTGAGAAGGGCCGTAATTGGCTGATAGACTGTCATTCTCAAAAGGGATCCATAACAGACACAGTATCAGCAACAAATCTCCCATCCTATAACTCCTTGCCTGCATAGCCTGTCAAAATCCTTTGACAAAAAATTCCTCCCAGGAGCCCACTTTTATCATTTTTTATCATTTCGTACTTTCTTCATTTCAATCCACTTGACTTTTTCTCTGTCGTGCCAATGGTTTTAGCTCGATTACTTCCTTCCTTGTTATGGCATGCAAAGAAGGGAGAAAGAAAAGGACTCAGCAAAGCTCAAGGATAGAAATATCATAAACACGAAACAGTACTGCAATAATTTTTTTTTCATTTTTTATTATGTCACAATGAACTCGAATTCATCATGGCATCTCTACCATATGGTCATCCATTCATCTTCAGGGCCCGCACCCAAAAAATAAAAAAGGAGAAGTCCAGTCAATTATTCAGAATTATTGATGGAAAGTGATAAAAAATCTGAGACTTGCAACATATTTTATTCTCCAGTGCTTATCGTTTCCCCTTGTTTACTTTATTTTGATCATCTGCCTTGAGCACCCTATTTTCCTTCCTATGGTAGAGTCCTTCATGTTTTCTTCAATAAAGGCATAAGTAATCAACATGAGCGTTTTAGTCAATGGGTTATGTGTGTTCTATACTTTTTATTTTCATAAAACAAACAAAAATAATTCATTTTATTTCTAAATTTGCATAAATAAACTAAACACTACAAATTAATAGAAAATTTTAGCCAAAACGGCACCGTGTATACCTGGTCATCAGTCATCACCCTCCCCGCTAATAAAACTTTCAGCAGTTTTCAGTTACTTCCGTCAGAGTGGACAGTAGAAAGAGGCATTCTCCATGTATGGTTCAAGCCAACTAAAAGTAAACCAACAGGTCTTAGGAATCCTGGAAAAATGCAATCATCTCAGCCATCTAAAGCAACTCCAATCCTTCCTCATAACCCAGGGCCACTCCCGAACTCAGTTCTTCATTTTCAAGCTGGTTCGCTTTTGCACACTCAAGATTTTCAACTTCTGCCATGCTCGCTTACTCTTCGATCATCTTTATGCTCCCAATATTTACTTATACACTGCTATGATTACTGCATATGCCTCTCACCCCAACCACCATGCTTCCGCCTTTGCTCTTTACCGTCACATGCTTTGCAAGGGTAAGCCAACTCCGAACCATTTTATCTACCCTCATGTCTTAAAATCAGCCCCTGAAGTTTTGGAGTCTCATGGCACACAACTGGTTCATACCCAGATTTTTAAATCGGGTTTTGGACAATTCACAGTTGTTCAAACGGCTCTGGTTGATTCGTATGCGAGGACGGGTTCGAGCATTGGCATTGCAAGAGATTTGTTTGATGAAATGGCTGATAGGAATGTTGTGTCTTGGACTGCTATGGTTTCTGGGTATATGAAGGTAGGGGATGTTGGGAAGGCTCTTTTGCTTTTCGAGGAGATGCCTAATAGAGATGTTCCGTCTTGGAATGCTGTCATTGCAGGGTGCACACAGAATGGATTGTTTTCTGAGGCTATTTCACTCTTGAGAAGGATGGTTGTTGGGGGGAAACAAGGAGTTCATAGGCCTAATCAGGTTACAGTTGTGTGTAGTCTGTCAGCTTGTGGACACAATGTGATGTTTCAGCTCGGTAAATCGCTCCATGGTTATGTTTATAGAAACGGTGTTGGTGATGATTGTTTAGTAGCTAATGCTTTGATAGATATGTATGGTAAATGTGGGAGCCTAGAAACGGCAAGAAGGATTTTTGAAATGAGCTCAAAGAAAAACTTAACATCTTGGAACTCCATAATCAATTGTTTTGCACTTCACGGACAAAGTGAAAAGGCAATTAGTCTGTTTGAGGAGATGATCAAGTGTGGAGCCGAGGGTGTAAGACCAGATGCTGTTACCTTTATCGGTCTGTTGAATGCTTGTACACATGGAGGATTGGTTGAAAAAGGTCGTGCTTATTTTGAGTTGATGACTAGCAGTTACAACATTGAACCTCGGATTGAGCACTATGGTTGTTTAATTGATCTTCTTGGTAGAGCAGGTCAGTTTGAAGAAGCATTGGAAGTCATCAATGCTATGAAAATGGAGCCTGATGAGGTCGTTTGGGGCTCATTGCTAAATGGGTGTAAAATATATGGTCACACGGATTTGGCAGAGTTTGCAGTAAAAAAACTGATTGAAATTGACCCAAACAATGGTGGTTATGGCGTAATGCTGGCAAATTTATATGGAGAGTTGGGAAAATGGGATGAGGTTCGCAAAGTAAGGAAGAAGTTGAAGGAACAGAATTCTTACAAGATCCCAGGTTGCAGTTGGATCGAGGTAGATAGCCAAGTTCATCAATTCTATTCTGTTGATAAGACTCATCCTAGAACTGATGAGATATACAATATCCTGGAAAGCGTGGTTGGTTTGTACTAAGCTCATACTAGTTTGGTACCTTTGCCAGCCTTAGTCCAAATTGTTAACTGTGGCTCATGTGTTCTTTTATTAGTGACAAACTGTGGCTCATAAGTTCAGAAGCCTGGAACAGTTCTAATTGGAATGTTTTGCCCAGAAGCAAGAGCTTGCTTAGCTGTTGCAGCACCGTGGTGGAACATGTGAAACTGAATGATATTTCCAGCATGCTTTTAACGGAATTTACGGGAAAGAATGAAACTTCCCTGCCAACTACCACTGCTATGGTACATGATGTGCAAATCAGAACTGCTGAAGCTCTAGAGGTGCAAGGGTAAAGAGAGTTCAGAGCTGAAATGGCACTGTTTTTTGATGTTTCCACCAACATATTTCTCAAAAAGGAATGAGAAATGGAGAACAAGAGCAAAAACTAAGATTGTTTGTTTTAGCCAATTATACGGCTCTTTTTCTTTGTATTCTTCTAACAAGATGTAGAAACATTTTTACATGATTTAACTGCTCGGGATTAGAGGATCCTTTTGGCCGGATGATTCCAGGCGAGAAACTTCATTTTCCAAGACCATGTTCTTCTCTTTTGCTTGTCCCCACATCACGGTGTAGAATCCGATTGCAATAATAACGGATCCAATCACACTGCAAGAGAAACAGATCAAGGCCAATTTACTCTTTCTTTAGTTGCAGCAGTGTACATAAGATATCAGGAAAGCAATCATGAACCTTACTCAAAACTTAAGCCTGAATCACCATCAGTTAGATGGCTTTATCTTTTACATGAAATTTTGTTTACAATTTTTCTCATGAATTACCTTTATATCAATTGAATCTAAGTCTGTGATGTTCTAATGTTGGTGTGTGTTTGAAATTGATATCTGGTGGTTACTTAGGCAACTCATTAACGAGTATTTTTAAGTTCAGACTTCAAGTAGAGTATGACATACCTCCCTAGATAAAGAGTATCACCAAGAAATATGACTGTCAGGACTACAGCAACAACAATTCCCAAGGGTTTGAACATGGAAACATACACGGGTCCCTTCTTCTGTAAGCACCATGTATGAATAGCAATTCGAAACAAACTCCCAAATATTGCCTGCAAATGGAAAAAATTGATGCTAAATAACACAGAATATCCCAATAGGAATCTTAAACAGAGGTTTCTATTCAACCCTGTTTTGGGTTTCTCCCAAATATCAATTTATAGAATAGCTCTTAGCGGGAAAAAGTGATTAATCCAGCAACAAACTGTTTAAACTTTAACATATGAAACTTCTAAACATCATTAAAGAGTCTTGTAACGATGAACACTTCATCTAGGCTTTGATGGTTATTAATTCTTACCGTGCACACAATGGCAGCCACTTCAACATTAGACTTCAACTTCCATGCAGTTGGACTTCTTTCCAAAATTAGAGAGAAAACCAAGGATTGGATGGTTATAAAGAATGTATAGAAGAAGACTGTCGTCATCTTATCTGGATACTCCTTCACAGTGGCTGCCTGAAAGCATGAAATCATGGCTATGGTTATCCTCCATAATGGGTCACATATGATCATTAATTTGCTACAAGCAGAACAACACAACTTTTCCTAGCAGAAATTTTCGCCCATTACAAAAAAAAGTAAGTCTGAAGATGTGAAATCATTAATGGTGAATCCAAACTGAGCGTTCATATCATACCTGAACAACATTCCATGTTGCAGATGATAGGCAAACCAATACAATAAGAAAGCCTCCAATAATCCACTTAGATTGATCTGAGAGATGTAAATTCTGAGGAAAGTTTGAAGGAGATGAAGCCATCAGGACAGAAGGACCTTTATAGAGAGTCACTACAAATGCTCCTGTCACAGCTACAACAGCACCCAAGGCTTTTGCTTGACTGCTTGATCTTCCTAATTCCAGCTTTTCCATCCTATAGCTCAAAACATCATTAAATATGTATCATTAGGGAAAAGGATTTGTCTCTCACTCATAAAGAGCAGAAAACATAACTGCTAACTTTTACTTTCTTCATTATTCCACCCCCCACCCACCTTTTTTTATCACTCTGGTATTACATACTCGGTCTGTGAATTTAATATACCCTTGATCAATTTAAAAGTAAAATTTTCTGCTCAAACTTAGACCATTTTTCCTTACTACCTGAAGATTACTGCAAGCAGGAAAGTGAAAATGGGGATAAGATTTACTAAAGCCGATGAGAGAGTAGGAGAGCTGTACTTGACTCCAGTAAGATATACAATCTGTCCCGAGCTTCTGCAAAAGAGAAATTTTCTGTTGTCAAACAGTAGGCCTAGAAGAGGAAAACAAAATTCCAAAAGAATGTAAGGTTGATCATATAAGTTCAACACAGATGCCAAATTTTCAGTACCAACATGAACTGTGTTCTATTTTTCCCATTACCCTATCAAGCCCAGGAGGAAGAATCGCCAAAGCAGTGAGAAAGTCAAAGGAAGTTGCTTATTTCTGCACAAGTAAAATTCAGGAAGGTTGGAAACGATTCTCTCATAAAACATCAAAGTTTTTCAGCTATGAGCCAATAGTAACAAGGAGAAACAAGGAACAAGAAACAACACCTGCAAAAGATGAGGTATGGGAGAAGGATCAAGGTACCAAGAGCATTATAGTAGACAACTGAAACAATGTTGCTCATTCCTTTTGTTAAAGCTGCCTTACTGATCACTGAGATACCCACATCTGTACACTCCACTGTTATCATTGCCACAAACGGTGCTGCACTCCATAGGTAAGAAGTTAACCCCATCTTTTCACCAGGAAAATTTTGCAGGCCTTTTTTTGCCTGATAATTGCCCTTTTTTTCAGCCGCAGGCTGGAGGGAGAGAGATATGTACAGATATTTTGTCTTCAAACTAGGAAAACATGACTCATATATGATGTATCTGACCCCACTAGGAAAGCAACAGGTTGCTGCAATTGGTTTAATTATAACATGTGTCTTTAAATACTTTATGCCACAAAAAGCTCAACATGTGGGCCACTTTTATATCAGCTACTTGCATTGGACAACACTGTCCAACTTTTTGTACAAGGAGGGTCACATCTCACAACTAACACCAATTGAATACATCATGAAAAGAAATATATGTAATGTATATCATCACATAGTCATCATGTGGGCCACTTTTATATCAGCTACTTGCATTGGACAACACTGTCCAACTTTTTGTACAAGGAGGGTCACATCTCACAACTAACACCAATTGAATACATCATGAAAAGAAATATATGTAATGTATATCATCACATAGTCATCATGGATGTAATAAATATTTTCGTCCTAACATACTTCAAGATTCATCTGGGGAAAATTTAATACAAACAAATGTCAAGACAAAAGACCAAAAAAAAAAAAAAGGATAATTTACAAATTTACAGGCTCCAAAATGTTTCACAAACAAACTTACTGAACGTTACTACTCGGGTTCACCTCTTCCTCCGCTTCTCTTCAAGGTAGGCATTGCGCTTAGACCACCAACGACGGCCGCGTCCAGTGTCATTACGTTGTTCTCCTGAGGCAGCGCACATCCCTTGGAATATCTTTATTTGCTGTATTTTGATAGCCCAGATTCAGCTCAGTGAGAGATGCATTTTGGAATCCATCCGATGATCTTTTGGGACTGGAGGAAGGTTCAGCTGAAGCAGTGTTATCATCGGCTTTGTCCGTAAAAGCAAAGCCATCTGAAGAGTCAGTTGCAGCGACAGGATCTTGGTCGTAAGCAGCATCTGGGTCCTTAGATGTCTCATTTTCGTCAATGCAAAATCCACCTCCCATTTTCAGGTAATCTTTAGACGCTTCCGCTTCAGGAAAGGGATCAACACCTAGGCTTTCATCAGGGTGACCAACTTCCTTTTCATCCATGCAAAATCCACCTCCCCTTTCAAGATACTCTCTGACTGAAGTCCTCTTCAAAAGTAGGATCTCGTACTTCGCTAGGATTCTTTTCATTTAATCATCAGCTGCTTCTTGCTCCATTGCCTCTTCACAATTGTTTCTTTATTGCTCCAAGCCAACCTCATCTTCTAGGTCATTCACATTGTAATTCACAGGGTTTCGAGTTCGCATTGACTGAAGACACGAATAGGATTGAAGCAAACCATTAATAACCCAAGATACAATTTCGATTAGAGTTTTGTCAAGTGGAGCAATTCAACGGGGAAAAGGAAGAAAGCTTACCCTTCGCACTTGCTGTGGCCGATCTAACTTCTCTCCATCAACTTCCTGATAATCGTTGGCACTATTTCCACCAGAAGAGCTGGTTTCAGACTGCTCAAAATCAGGACTTGCATTACGCCTTCTTCTTCCTCCACCATGACCTTTACCTCTTCCAATCCCAGGTGATTGTTTATTGGTTTTCCGCCTGCGAGCTGCCTGTGGAGGCGGTTCTGGAGTGCTCTTTCCACGGCTCGTCTGAGATGGCCTTTTCCTTGATGGCTTAGGCACTGATTTTTCCATGGATTTGCTTTGACGTTGAGAAACAATGTCCTCTTTCCTGTTCGAAGGTTCCCCTGATTTGTCTTCTCCACTTTTAACTGGGCTAACTCTTCTCCTTTTCCTACTTTTAGAAACTTGTTGCATGGCATCGTCTATCAACTCTGAGGATTGGTTCCCAGTGATTCCTTTAACCGCTTTCTTAATTCTCTTGCTACGAATTTTTGCAAATCTTTCATTGAAAGTATAAAACGCTTCCAGTCGCAATTGAGTCTTAATTTAACAAATAAAAATATAAGGTATCACTAACTTCATCTATGACAAGTCTACCAATGATAACAAATTAATGAAGCATGATCAGTCACCGCACTATTCAAGATTCTTTACTAGGTGATGCTGCAAATGCTTTCAAGCGCATCATGTGCACAACCATGTAAGTATGAGAATGAGAGGAATGAGTCTCTAACCTCACGTTTTTCGTACTCTCTTAAAACAGGCAGTAGCAAATCGTCTGATTTCTGACTACCCCATCCAAACTTGTCCCAGCACAGTCTGCATGCAATCAAAGCAAATCAGAAAACGTTTAA